GCCTGTCACATGCTGCCACAATGGCCAATACGTCCTTCTCAATCACGCTCCAGTTGGCTTGCGACCCCGTAAATGTGCCGCTCAGAAAATGAAGAAGCTGGTGGTTCTGCTCCGAAAACCGGCTTATCATCTATCCGAGTCTCCACGTCAGACCTAATCACGCTCCACGCTTTACCAGAAGCATCGGTGAACACTGAAAGTACTCCACCTTAACTTGGATGGACCAACATAGCTGCATTCGCAAGCCATTCCTTGACTTTCTCAAATACTGCCATTTCCATCTCAGTAAAAACTCACTGGTAGCCGCGCTGCAACTTTCTTAGTCCATTTTTCCTTCCTCAGAGTCCAATCAAGTCGCGGTTGCAGAACTTTCACATTTCCTAGTCTAAAAGCCTATCTCGCATCCAATTGCACGCGCAAAGGGGCTGTTGCAAGTCGACAGTAATAGACAGCAACGCCATAACGCGTAGCACCGCAATTCGCTCAGGGTCGTGGCGCACACCTTCACCGTCAATAGTTTTGCCGCACCATTCGACAAACCATTGAAAACGAGACGGCTTAACTGCACTCAGTTTGAGCCTGAAATCATTCATCAGCGAGAATAGTTCACCGAGTGTCTCTAAATATGTATCAACGTTCTCTGCATACAGTAGTAGATCGTGAATCCATATATACAAGTGCTTGCATATAGTCAATTTGGCAAAGCAATGCTCCATAATCCTCTGAGAATGCAAAGCCGCGTCACCGCAACCTTGCGAAACACGGGGTGGATGTGTAGACCTTCGAGTCTGTCATGTAGCTTAGGATATTTGGACTCGCCTTGGCTCGAGGGGGCAACCAAAAACCCTTGATAAAATCAAATAGGCCAAAGGAAGTCAATTCACACACGAGCTTCGTTATTATTTGCTGATTTGGCAAGACAACAGCAATCGGCTCTGTTTCCGCGTTACCGGTCTATAGTCACTGGTTTGTTGAAACTCGTTCTTTCCCGGATTTTGAATCGTTAGGTCAGGGCAAGTCACACTACTTGAACCGCTCTCGAAATCCCATTCGAGACGAGCTAGTTCTTCACTAAAGTCATACAGAAATTTCCATATATGCGGCGGATACACCCTCGGCTTGCACCTGCAAGGTGTAGCACTCTTTTTCAACCGATATTCCAAAGGCAGGACCATGTCAGGTGGGTCTGGGTTCTCCGCACGTCATACATGTAAATAATTGTCATCAACGTGTTCTCTCTGGTCACAGGAAGCCGGCTAACAAGCGCTGTCGCGATCATACCCCCACAGCTTGACGAACCGCTTCACCAGTTGAATAATATGCTTTAAAGTGGCCTCAACATTAATTAAGGGGTCGTCATCCGCTGAGGTCGCTCGCGCCAAGTGCTCCAGCTGGCGATCGATGAGGATACCCAAATCAGTAAGAATGTCTTCGCCTCAGATAAATTACTCCGCACCTTCGTCAATCACTAACACTACACACGGATTGACGGGTTTTACACACCCAGCAGCTGTATGTAGCATTATTTGTAGTAGAACTGACCGATACACCAAAATCGGGTGCTTCAGATCGTTTCACAGACTATCGACGTCTTCAGCTGGTGGGTTCCACAAGTTCATCCATCTTCGTTAGCTCGCTCAGCTTTCGAGCACTGATGATGCTCTTCTCCGCCCCGGGATCAATGCAGTAGGGCCTGGACAGCCTATCGTCCAACACGATAGTCTTGTCGTGCTGCGAGAGACAGTCTTTTATGCGCATCAATCTTCACGCGTCGATCTTAGCTCGCTTATTGTCTCGGCGCTCATGCATCTAGCGGAGGAGCTCCTTCTTCTCATCAATGATGACAGCTGGGCATTATACTAACCAACGATCGCATTTACACTTAAGACAGCCACCAGTCGGAGCGGTGCTCTCTTTTGGGCAGATGCCTTTTTCTTGGTATGTTTAATGCTAGTGCTACTGCTCTTTTCAACTGGTTGGTCGGCAAGCTCGACCTTCCGATACTTTGAAGGAGGCCGGCTGTTTTTACTGTCGGCCGGCTTTTCTTGTCGATTGGATCCACTCATATCTCTACCATGAAAGCACTTGCGCCGCTGAAAATCACGGTACTGGTCGAAAGCCTTTTCATATATCAGTTTAATCAGCTCCTTCTCATTTTCCTAGGCCGTTCGTCCTAAGTACCTAGCGATTGCAGTCACCTCCTCATGAAGGCTGTGAGGCTAAAGTGATTCAACAAGTAGCTTGCATTTAAGCGGCACACCTTCTTTTCCATTAAAAAGGCCTACTAGGGCAGCGAAGCTACTTCATACCACGACATCAACAGAGATGATCAGATTGTTTTTTTTACATACCAGCTCCTAGACGAACGGCACTACAGACTACACTCCGCGACATAAGTTTTGTGACACCTATACTTTTGGCTGTATCTCGGCTTCTAGGTCGAGTTAGACGTCGCTATTTAGATATGTTCCACCTATCAGAGAGAGCGAAAGGAGGCTTGTGACGCCGATCTAGATTTCGTGACGAAGAACGTGACCGCATGAAGATACTCCACGAGGCAGGCTTGAGTGTCAGCGCGATCGCTCAACGGCTTGAGCGGTCGGTGAAAGCGTCAGCTACGCCCTGAGGGCACCTACTACTAAAGCCAAAAGAGGGGGCGTCCGGCAAGCCTAACAGATCGCCAAGTCCGCCAGATCGTCTGCAGCGCCGCAACAGCAGACTACTCGGCGTCCGAGTTGAAGGTCACGTACGGTTTGGCATGCTCGGTGCGTAAGATCCAGAGACTTCTGTCTCGGGTAGACTATCTAGTCTACTCTAAAATGGATCGTACGCTACCTCTAATAAAGGAGCAAAAGGAGGCGCGCCTAGAGTTTGCCGAGAGACTCTCGACGGCTGCGCAGAAGGAGGTGGTTTGGCCCATGATCATCTTCTCAGATAAAAAAGTTTAATCTCGACGGCCTAGATGGGTACAAGCACTGTTCGCGTGACATGAGGCGTCCTCCCCGTCGTTACATGTCTCGCCAAAATGGGGGAGGCTCGCTAATGGTTTGAGGAGCTTTCGATGTCAAGGACAAGTCGGAGTTGGTGGTTCTGGATGGGCGCCAGAACTCGGGCCACTACATCTATACGGGGTCGGAGCATATGCTCCCATTTGCCCACAAGAACTACGGCACGGATTTTATATTTATGCAAGATAACACTTCTATCCATGCCTCGTACGCAACGACCGAGTTTTTCACGGAGACTGGGGTGCGGTTGCTTGACTGGCCAGCTCGCTCACCCGATCTCAATCCGATTGAGAACGTGTGGGCAATTTTGGATAGGAAGGTCTACAGTCATGGAAAGCAGTACAACTCTGTAGCTGAACTCAGTGTTGCTGGTATGGAGGCGTAGGATTCAGTGACGATGAAAGCGCAAGTCAATACGATAAGCCTCATTAGCTATTTCACAGTCAATTAGCCCCTAGTTGTTTTAGTGGGAAGATCAGCTATTTAGACCAAAGCAGTTACAGCAGGCATAATGACATGGACATAAGTATCTGAACCAAGCCAAATCATTGGGTTTAAGGACTGGAGAAAAGATTAATTTTACGCATTTCGGTAGAAGTTCCTGCACCTGGCCCAAATCGGCCGAACGTCAAGTGCTAAGGAGAAAAAGCACGTTTTTCACGCGTAGTTTTAATCTGAGCCTGCTTTTTCACACTGTATCTTCATCCGTGTCACGCGTACACTATACGTTAGTTAATAACGCGTCTGTGTGTCGATCTATTCGCCGTAGCAATTTTTGTGAAAGCGATATTAAAAAGAAGAAAGTAATATGTATTCATTAAACCTTCTCGTATCCATTTCGTTCCGTCTCCGCCGCTTACGAACTAGCTGCAGGACCACCTGTCAAATATACCAAATTGATTGCTTTAGCTAAGTGACGTAGCTAAAGCAATCAACTTAGCCTAAGTCCTTACGCTGACTTGGCAATAATCACCGTAGATACTGTAACTAAAACTAGATGATGGGCGCTTTTCAGCCCACTTCAATTCTGTAGCACAAAACAGTGCACTTCTAATGCTCCGGCAATGCGGTTTAAGTAAGTCACAAAAATGTGGACAATAAGCCCGTCTGTCATTGCTTAAAAAAATGAAGAATGCATTAAAAGTTTTTATTTAGGCGAGCTTTTAATACTGGAGTCAATTTCCTTAAAATAGACGAGTGGGATTATTGACACTGAAAATTAGTCCGAGGTACGTGTAATGAATCCTTTCATCGAGATACTTGATTTTGTCCGATCATACGTGATGTTCAGAGGACGCAGACTTCACTCCTGAAATACCGGTAAGCACAGCAAAGGCGCACTCGAGCCTGTGAGGTTAAAGCCCAGGAAAGGAGTTGGTTTGGGCTTAACCTGGGTGATATAGCCCCGTTAATTTTGTGAAATTTTACAGAATCTTTGGTCCGTACTTGTTGCCTAGGTACATCTGGATAATAATCGAAAACCATGGTATATAAAAATGTATTTCTTTTCATTCGCGGAGTGATTCAACGTGATAGTTTGGACACATCGTGGACAAGATATCCAGTGCAGAGTTAGGAAAATATAATAAGTTAATACATTTTTGTTTTTATGCTCAGTTCTTAAATAATATGGTATTTTGACCAATTATTGTAAGAAATAAATTAGCCTTTTCTACTTATGTCACTAAGTATTGAGAACGTATTTTGAATATTCATAAAGTATTGGGAGGAAGATGGTGCAAAAATAGGTTATTCCGTTGTACCATACTTGTTTTACTAATATTATTTTCTGCAACCTCTGATCCAGTGCCTACTTTTATTAACTGTACACGGCAATTGATTTGTCACAAGATAAGATCGCGCACTTGAAGCTCCACGTGACTAATCTTGGGTACTTCACTGTTGGACGAACAGTGTTGACCATTGGTCCATCACTGGAAGTGGGGCTTGTCACTTTTTAATTTGCCAGCAAGCCTCGACAGTGTCTTCATCATGCATTTGCTACACCAGGCTATGCTGCTGTTTGCAGCTTACTTCTTCTTAAATGTTGATGCTGAATCGAAGGTCCGAAGCTTGAATCGCGCAGTGTCGAAGAATCCGATCAACCGCTACCTGAGGGTTGTGAGTGACGACGAAAGAGGATATATCAGCTTTCTCGGCCTCGAGAAAACACAGGAATGGATTAATTCTCTGGTGAAGAAAATAATCGCGAGCCCAAAGCCGACCCAGGATAATATTCCCGACGAAACGCTATCACATGTGCTCAATGCAGTAAGCCCACTAAAGAATAGCATTTCAGCTGCTACCAAGCATCAAAGTCCCCAGATCCAGATGTGGCTCAACGAAGGGAAATCAACAGGAGAAGTGTTTAAGCTGCTTGAATTGAAAAAATTCACGCTCCCAAACTTCAAAATAGCTGATGGCACGCTGTTCGATCAACCAAGCTTTCACACTTGGGTGCAGTACGTGGACGATTTCAACGCAAAGAACCCTATGAAGCAAGAATCGATGACCCCGTCTTTATTGACTGCTTACAGCGACGTAACCCTGTCAAAAGCCCTTGCGCTGGCGAAAAAAGGCCCGACCACTGAGGCTCTCGCCACTAAACTAAGGAAGGAACAAATTCAGTGGTGGCTGAAAGACGACAAAACCCCAGAGACTGTTTTCAAATTGTTTATGCTCGACATGATCTACTGACGAATCCGCAGTTTGTCGCTTGGACCAAGTACGTAAAAGACTTTAATGTCAAGTACCCGAGAAAGGAAACTTCGATGGTATTCCCGATTGCAGCTCATTACGGCGACGACGCTTTGTTTGGAGTACTGGAAGCTGCGAAGAAAGTTGAATCGACAAAAGAACTAGCGTCAAAACTGCAGGCGGAGCAGATAAAAAAAGCTGCTGAGCAGCAATGAATCTCCCACGTATGTCTTCAAAGCGTTCAATCTTGACGAGACAGGAGACACAGCTCTAGACAGCCCGTTGTTTAAGACTTGGCTCAACTACATGAAGACATTCAACGACCAAAACCCCAGCAAAAAAGAGAGTATCCTGACTTCAATTAATAAATAATATCAAGATAATGGTGTGGCGAAGATAGTTGACGAAGCGATGAAGAACCCGAGAACAGAAACGCTTGCGAAGGAGCTACAGGCAGAACGATACAATCGTTGGCTGGCCGGCGAGAATTCTCCTGAAAGCGCTTTCAACGCGTTTGTATTGCACAGGCCTGGAGCGAGTGATGATATTCATTTCAAGAAACATCCTGGTGGCAACCTTCACTTTACGCAAATCGACAATGTATCAGACGACCTCCTTTCCAGTGCAGATTTCACGTTTTGGAAGCAATATTTAGATGATTTCAACACCATGTACCCCGACAACCAAGCGTCTATGCTCAAGATTCTGCAAACATTCTACACTGACGAGGCTCTAAAGAAACTGCTCGATACGGCGCGTAAAAATCCTCGTACGCAGGAGTTAGCATCGAATTTGGAGGCCGCCATGTCTAAAGTGTGAGCTCGTGTGAAGAAACCCTAGCGCAGTTTGCAGCTCGTTAGCGAAGCTGGTCATCAGCTGCTGATTTACCCTATGCAGCGAAGATTCGAGTACATTATATCGATATGGGCAGTCGAGTTCGTATGACTGCAATCTAAAACACGTTTTTAAGCCAAACTCGTAAGATCGTGTAAGAGGAAACCGTAATTCCTATAGGTACATGACGACGCGTACCACGTAGCTTGCCAATGGTTCATTTTAGCGAACAGAGATACGTGGTATGTAACCTCTACCGCCTGCTAAGATCTATGGTTAGGCGAATAGTTACCGCGACCCATTAAGCCACATACATTATCTGCACGACTCCAAACAGTATTCAAGAGTTGACCAGAATGTTCTATCTTCGGCGTGTTAGATTTAGTATGACATGCCGATGCACCAAAGCAGTCGTGGAAACACGACCACATTCGCTTTGACTGGTTATTCTTGTTGGTGTCAGATTTTTCTTTGTTGGTGTTGTTGGTATTCACTCGATTTCGCAGAAGTAGCTAATTCCGTGTTATAAACGGTAAAGCTCTGTTTTTTTACTTACAATCAATTAACCCCTCATTCACCATTGTCGGGGATCCGACAAACAGGTGAGATTGGGCTTCACCACGGCCGGGTAAAAGTTTGCCCCCGAATGGGTACAGGAAGGCAACTCGTAAAGACGGTTGGTTTCGAGTGACCGAATCAAGCAGGAAATGGGAGTTATGAAAGCTTTTGCTATTGTTTTCTTCCGTTTTATTATCGCAACGCGCAACCTGTACGAGCGACGTATGCTTTCGCAGATTTTTTATGGCATACAATCTGAAAATATAACCCATATAGCATGGTTTAATTGTAAACATATGTTAAATAGAATCATTGGCTATCTAGTCGAAAATGGCGACTGGCTAAGGCCGTCCGAGGGTTGGTTCCTAGGGGGGAGGCTGTGACCCGCGCCGTTCGTGGTAAATTACCACATCAGGAGAGAGCGGTCCGGATCGGTCCATTCGCAAAGACTTAGACGAAGATCGATAAGACGCCAAAAGATGATCAGGATGCCCACAGGGGAGGACAAGTGGAGACTGGTAGCAGTGCTAATCGCTTGCCCCGGCGACAAGGTCTCCAGGCGAGGTGTGACAGCGTTGAAACTGCTGTGGGGCCGTGTCTCAGAGATCAAGGAGCTCCAACCCAAGCTTGTCAAGCTGCAAATCCTGCTGGGAGATCTGCTTGAGCTGCACGAAGATATCACTGCACGTCTCTCTGAAGACACGAGCGAATCAGTGCAGACGTCAACTATAGGCGTCGAGCTGCGTCAGAGAGTGTGGGAGCCATTTTCAAAGGTTCTAGGTACTACTATTAGCAATCACCAAGTGTAGTAAGTAGAAGGACGGTTTTAGTTTAGAAATGAATGTGTATTGACAGAGATGTTATCCTCAACTAAATGCTTTCTTGACCATCTTCCTGATCTCCACCATTTTTGCCCATAACGCAGCGTCTTCCGCTTCATCTGCGTGACTCCATCATGAAGGGTTGCCCACAAAAGCTGAAGTCGTATAAGCTCTAAGTCGCGGTTCAAAACTCTTTTGGCAGCCTTTAGTGAGCGCTCACCTGAGATGTAGCTGTAGGCTTGAGCCGCACACAGAACCTCGCAGCTGACACCATCTACCTGAGTCGAACGTGTCTATTCATTGCCAAGACAATCGGAAACTCCACTTCCGTAGCTGAAGTTTCATTACTCTGTGTACAACCGCCGTTTTTGTGTTTCTTTACACGCATGTTGGAAGCCAGGTTGCAGAACGTTTCGCGGTTCACATCTCGCTTAAACCACGCTTCAAGGAGAGGTAGTGTGAATGACGTTTACTTTGTCTGACACATTACCAGATTCGAATCCACACCGAGTGGATCGTAAAACGTTGCCCAGATTTTGCGCTTGGACGGCTCCGTGTCCGACATTTATGCCTCTTGATCATCCAATGCTTCAAATCGATCATGTGTACCGGTATCAGCACAAACTTGCAGCTAGAGAGTGGATAATCCAGAAAAAATCTTCTCGTCCGTCACAGATAAAGAGTCACCAGCGTAGCAGATCTGGCAGTTTTTTTATACGTGCCACAGCGCTAGATCCATAGCTACATCGTTCAGCTGCTTGCTACGAGCAAGTATACCCACCATCTCCCCAAACGTAGACCTGATGGAGCGTCGTGTTGGATGCAATCCACCTGAAATAGTTGAAAAGCGATAAAGTCGAGCAACTTCGCTCGCCAAAATATCAGGCGAGGCTTGGATCTTGGCCAGAAACGGAAGCCTCAGTCGTCCATCAGAGCTCCAGTCTCGTTCGATCCACGCGATATCCTTGCGGTACTCCTTGATGATATTTAGCTCGTCGTAATAGGCCCGAACCAGCCGCACGTAGCCGCTACAAAGGTTATACACACATTGGTCCACAATACAATGCATGATAACTCACGTTGAAAAGCATCCCAGTTCAGCTACCACGTAAGTTGCGGCCACAATGTCGTCAAGGTCATCGCCTACCAGATCGTAGTCCCTCTCCTGGTCTCGGGATTTAGCGTACTCAACTAGAGCAGCGTTTACGCGCAGCAGCAGCTTACGTGTGATCACGTAGCTGGCATCAGTAATGACAGCGCTCCTAGAGCGCTGCAAGACAGTAGGTGCCCTCGCCAGCATGTAGCTCTTTTCGTAACGCACAATATATTTTGATGTCGTCCTACCGATGACATCCAGGTCATAGGTATGCATCATCCACGTGAGGAAAGCTCCCAAATCTATAGGACAGTCGCCATGACGCTCTTCAATAGACCACCTCACCGAAAAGTCAGAGATGCAGCGTCTTGAGGAGGGTGACGACGGTGTTCGACGCAAGGATAACCAACCGTACATTCCGGCGGAGACCACAGACCTGCTTCGTCGCTTGTGTATCATTGTACACTGCGGCCCCCAAAGACATCGAGGCAGAGATGCAATGCTAGCACACCCCCATTCGCATTTGCCAGTGTGTTGACAGGTTCCTGGTAAGCTGACTCATGTGACATTATGTTAAAGGGAGGAAGGTAGTTGCCAAGGCCCTGGAGCAAAACCTACCGATGTAGTGAACGAAATCAAGCTCTCCATTGGGACGTTCTGTATTTAGAGGAAGCCTACGGTGACATGCAGTACATACTTGCGCTCAATGATGATGCTAGTCACTACTGCGAGCTCGTCAAATGTGAGACCCCTACAAGTACAGTGGTTGCTGATGCTATTATGGATTGGCACAGCTGATTTGGAGCTCCTAAAGACTGGATTAGTAACCAAGGGTTCCATTTCAAAAATGAAGGGATCAACGATCTATGCAGCAGGTTGAAGTGCAAACAGTGTTTTTGACCAGCTGCCTATGGATCAGCAGGTCTGTGGAACGAGTGAATGGAGTCGTCCTGCAAGTTCTACGTGTACTCATTCAAGACTACATGCTCAGCTACAGAAATTGGTCAAGGCTCATTCCAATCATACAGGTCAGTCTAAACCACGCGGATGCACCGTCGTTGGCAGACAAGACGCCGGGCGAGCTCTTCGCCGGACTTGAGCCTCCGTCGCCACTGCAAGCTGTATACACGGGACCAGAGGCGGCTCCTTGTATACAGCCAGCTCGTAATACGACCGAGATCGAGTCGTGTTTGACTGAACTACGCACTAGTGTCAGCGACATGCTCCGGGTGATTGCAAGGCGCACGCCTCAAGCAGACCTTGCTGAACAAGAAGAAGGAGCGAGATAACAACGTGGTCAGCTTCAACGTGGGCGACTATGTAATTCGATCACGTGTGGATGAGAAAGGACAGAGCAAACTAATCGTTACATGGATGGAGCCCTACGCTGTCACTGGAGTACCGTACAATGTCTTCAAGGTGAAGCAGCTTGTAGCTGGCGTTGAGCTTGAGGTACATCCCTCGCGGCTCAATCTCTTTGCCGCCAAGGATCTCGAGGTGACTGATGAACCCCTTGAACACGTGGCTGCTCAGGGTATTATTATTCGCGTGAGTTTCTGCGGCACCAGTAGGATGACAAGAGCCGATCATACGAGATCCTTATGGCTTGGAGGCAATAGAGGACTCGTGAGAGCCTCTAGCAGCACCGCACAACGACGTGAGTACGTTGGGGGCAAGGGTACGTTGCTGCAGCTAAATACTCTAAGCTTGAACGCCATCTCAAAGTGTCAGAAGTGCCAGTAAAAAGGCGCTAAAATTAAAGTGTAAACATGTATATATCTCAGTATAATGACTATACATCACTGATTAATGTTTACCCTTCGTACTGGGGTTGTTTCTGTCAATTTCCGTCGGTTTTGCATAGTAAGGTATACTTCAACTCCAACGTGTTGAAGTTGGTCGCATAAAGCGGACCGAATGATTAGTTCAGTGATTCTGCATGCTGAAACAATCGATTACCGAGTGGTGAGTCATTTGTATTAAAAGGTCTACAAGCATAATATGTCCGAGTGGTCGGATTGGGCTTGAGAGGGGGCTGTAGTGGGTGGCGGCTTGAAAGCCACCCCCGACCACGCTTTACAGTCAGAAATGACGAATGATCGGATTACCAGCAGGTGGTTGCAGTCAGCCACCAGCGTGCCAGGTTGTTGCAGTCTACAACCGCAAGTTGCAGCTTCGTCATCTCAAGCTGGCGAAGGTTCTGGCAGGGGGAGCTTCTACTAGAGGCAGAGCTATCACTGGGACGCTGGTGATAGCTATGTAGATCTGTGAGCCGTATGCATGTTTCTTTATCACTTTTATATTTACTACGATGAGCACAAAACATTCGGCCAAAACGTCAGGAAGTGCCAACTTTATTCAACTGTGCTGTGTTTTCAGCTGCGACCTACTACAAGCTCTTCCATTTCGTTTCTTAAACGCGGACTCCCTTGGAATGGGGGTGGGGATCTTAACAGTCATAATAGCGAAATCTAGACGGTATTCTTGACGGAGAAGTCGCTTAACAGGAATTTGCTAATCTTATTAATATTTCATCGCATAAATCGGTGTTCGACTAATGTGTTTCTCTGCAGCAGTAATCTTCACCGATTTCCATATTCTTAATATTTTGGCTTGCCTCTAGATTTTCATCTTCGAAGTATGTTGGTTTGCCTCTGGTTTGCAGAGCTAAACATGAGCCTGACAAGGCTGAGAGTGTACGATGACGACGTGTGCCGTGAAGCACGAGAAGGTCACCGTGGAGACGGGTGACACGTCGTCGTTGACAATCCAAGAAAAGAAGGGAAACGGAGCCGGCGAACGGCTGTGAGTCCAGCACGATAGTGCCAGAGGTTTGGCGATCCGCAACGTGAGTGGGACTGTGCGTCTGAACAGGTTCTGGCGACCGATGAGGCGGATGTCGAGAGTGTGCCGAAGTTCGATGAGCGCCGATCAGTGGCGGAAACCACAGGAGGGTGACCTGCTGACCACGGACTCTGAAATCTGCTCAGTGAGAAGCAAGCTCACTTTAATATTTCCTTGGAGGGAAGGAAGCAACAGAGGGAGAGCGAGTGCAGACGGGACCGGCTTAGATGATGGAGTTGACTACTGCGGGTGACGAGAACGAGGCGAATGAGACGGTGGTAGACGTACTACCGGGTGACGATGGACACCGGAAGGGCGTGCAGTACAGTGGGCTGGGGTGGGTTTCAAGGCGGCGTGTGGTGTCTTGCGGTGGTGAATCTAGTGCTGTGTGGATCTGGAGTTGTGACCGAGGAGAGGGCATCGCGCGTGGGACCTTGGAGGTGGTCGACGGCGGATTCATGCGGACAGTGGTTGTTGTGGAGAGAACTCCGTAGAGGATCAATGATAACAAGAAGAAGTGCGCATTTTAGCGCTTTAGTTGAGGTTTTTATAATAGGATGAGAGTCCGATTACTTTGCGGTGGCGTACAGCTGTGTTGGTTCGACGAATAGCTTAGACGAACTGGGGCAAGATCGTGCACCAAGCACAGTCGCTCACGCTCCGCTTGCAAGCAGGCGTTACGAAAACCTGCCAATAACATGTCAGATATCTGATGAGAGCTTACATGTATCAAATTGATTTTGTCGGTATTGCTGTGTTGCTGAAGGTCAATTAAGGAAGGACATCGATTAGGAAAATATGGATTGGGTGTATATCGCAGCTAGTTACTGAACGGCTGCTTATTAGGTAATGGCAGTAACCGCAATTGTTCTGTAATTTACGGAGAAGAACGAGTGACTTACACCCAACAGTACGGCCTTCTCACACCAAAAACGGGTGGGCACCCATAGACTGTGCAAACAAAACACGCTGTGCAGGAATCCCAAATAGATTTGCATTTCTTTGCACGCTGCCACTTCTGCGCAGACGCGCCACAGGGTCAAATAAAACCCAATCAGAACACAACTAGAGATGTGGAAGATAGCCCAATCATAGCCAGACACTGCAGCCCAATCAAAGTTCCCGCATTTTCTTGATTCAAAAAAATTGAAATTCATCGTGCACTTCACCAGCTACTCGACCCCGCTTGGCAGGATGCCGAAGCGGATCGACTGAAAGGACGTGGCGCTTGGCATCTCTGCCCTGGACGCGGAGGGGGCGCTGAGCGCCTTGAAGACGTACGAGGTGACCAAGTGCAACCAACTGGCGTGCATGGTGTGCCCAGAAGACGCCACATACAAGATGCGCTACCGCCTACTGAAGTGTGCGTCGGAATCGTGTGCTACGTCGATTTCCTCGCATGAACAGGCTTGCTTGTGGCGAGGATAGACTTTATCGTGCATGACGAACGACATGGTGTCGATTTTCCAGGTGGGGGAGCACGTTACAGCAGCCGGATCCCCTAGAAAGAAGCGTTTGACGCCCAGCCAGAAGCCTATGTTAGGGAGCTGACTATACACGCTTCGACCAATGAGAATTTGGCACGCTATGACGCCGAAGTTTGATATGGTGCTCCAGGGCCGTACAAAACTTCGTGTAGCACTACTCGCGAACGCACTTGACGCGAAACGATCGCGTGGATGGTCTACGTAAGTGGATCCACGAGCGTGTATTCACTGGGAACGAAGCCTTGAATCAGTCTTTCACTTATGCGTGGGACCCTGACGTCGATGGTAAGCCTGTGGTAGGCAACGGTTCTGAGGAGCGGCCTTTCATCGTCGGCTAGCAGAAGACCAGTAGGGAGGATCTGAGCTCGCGGAGCGGGCATCGTGGTGGCCGCCAACTGGTATTGTCCCTGCGTTGACATCTTGAGATCCAGCACTTGCGCGCGAGCTATTAAACTAGCGCCGGGGCGCCATTTGCACTGTATGAGCTCATTCAGTAATTGGCCATCCGAGGACTTTCATATCATTGACGAAATAGTGTATGTTTTTCGCTTTGACACTATGTCAAATAAAAATACCGATCTTTAAGAAGAACCCTTCGATGGTATTCATACCCAACCTCGTCAGCAAGACGATCACCCACGAAATTTGAGCGATCTCGCAATTTTGTAACTGCTGGGCCTTCTTTTCAGCATGACGAACTTTGATAATCGAATCTTTCCAGACTGTCTTCCATTTTGAAGACTTGTTTAGAGAAAATCCGCGCATGTAAAGTATATGAACAAGATATCACTACACGATACCGTTGAGGTACAAAGTCGTACTTTTTTTTTAAGCGCTGGATATATATTCGGTACTTCTTTTTGAACCAGATCTTGTTACCGTACGAGACCGGGATCTGGGCTCCAGCGTCGACTGTAGCTATCATACGGCACAGCACCTTTACCTGCGTCTTATTCTGTATTTCCACGAATTCTACGTTGGGGCGGCACGAAAGCTGCAAGAATCTTGTGGTAGCTTCAGCAGCCAACGCATTGATATACACAAAGTTTCCACGCGTGGTTTTTTCGTTCAACATCGTGGTGAAGCCGCTATCTACTTCATGGCCTCATCGGGTTGGCCCCGGGTTTATTTTTGCGCCCTTCGCCAACTTCGTTCTCATGCCAAGGATTCACTTCAGGTCCTTCATTGTCTTCGCCTTCTAGGTGTGCGCAGGATAGATGCTGGCGCCGCTGCGAGTTGGGGCACGTATATTCTAATAGCGTTTCTTTCTTGATTTACTAACGTGGTAGTCAGCTTTTCTCAACTTGCGTCTGTGATACTGTGCCTCGCGCTGTGCGAGCGTCGGGACCGCCAAAATCTCACGTAGAGATATAAGCTGAGATGGAGTGGGCTGACTAGATTCTTCCTGTCGCTCTGTCTGCTCAAGTTGGTCTGGAGAGTCTGGTTCGCTGTCTTTAGCCTTTTCCTCGGATTCCAAGTGTTCATCCACCACATCCACCTCACCTCCACCTTCTTCGACTTGTTTAACTTCGGAATTAAGACCGCTAGCCTTCTTTTTGTAAAACTTTGTCGTGTTCATAGAAATGAGAACGACGGTGTTCATCCTGTACAAGTCACCCGAAGCGTCATCTTCCACACTAGCTCGCTGCAAGATTTCCTCCGATGGATGGCCTTGCGCAGGGGTGGCATCCGCCTTGTGTGGAGCGCTAGGAGCCACCAAACAGCCAGAGGGAGTCGTGGGTCGCTTACTGAGTGCGGCCATCTTGGTGCTCGTCTTATTCTTGGTTTTAGCGGCTGCTACGGTGACTGGCGCATTTTCCTCGTATGATTCTTCTTCCTCGGACTCGTGGGCATCGGTGAAACCGTGATCAACGGCCGCAGCAACCGTGATCAACCGTAGTGACAGCGATCGGGGCCACCGCCTTGTCGGGCGAATCGCTTACGCGCGTAGCAAAGCAGTCCGGTAGCCACTGGGGTCGCCGGCTACGTACATTTGAGTGTAGTAGGTGATCGTGTCCCCAGCGTACAGCTTTATAGGCGGAAGCTGCGCGGAGGACAGCCCGAACATGGCGGTGTGTAGGGTGCGGTGACTGGAGTCTTGAGGCCAGGAGCCAGTATTTGCTTCCAAACAACAAGCAAGTTTTGGGTCACATTCAAGTAGCACACATCCTCCGAGCACGTACTGCATTTGGCTGACGCGGGTGCGTCAGCCCCATTAGCCCCAGGGTCTGGGTCTATCAGAAAGGCCCGGTAGGTTGCCCCGCCCCTGTTTTTTTGTGTTGGAATCTTATGTGTTGGTCAAATCGGTTCGTGTGAAAATAAGGTTTTCTCTTTACGGTGGTCTGTGCGTAATACGAGCCCTTCCTATAGGTACGGTATAGACAGCCAATGATTTGGCTGGAACGGAGCAGGTGATATTTTGGGAGTGTTGTAGGCCATCGAGATCCACTCCACGTCCAGCTCCACGAGAAGCGGCAATAGAATCGTCTCGATAATGATCACGTCCAGACTCACAAGAAGTACCACCAACTCGGGGATGTTCAAGTCCAGGGGCAACAGCAGCAACACCCCTATGTATACTACCACGATCAGATGTAGGAGCGACACAATTCGAAGTACTAGAAGCGATGTCACCCCTCTCCGAATCGCCATGGCCAGGTTCTCCCGCTGAGGCGCCACCCCCAAGTCCACCAGAAGAACAATCAGGGTCTCCGCAAATGACACCCTCACCACATCCAGCCACAATAGCCATCCCAAATATGATCTGCTGCAGGAGCAGCGCTTTTGTTAAAGGTGGCAACAGCACAACTACTGTTTCCAGGTCTTCTATCACATCCAACAGCACAATTCGCACCGGTAACACTCTCGAATGCTTTGGTGGCGCCAGCGTTATGACGGGCTGTACCAAATGCGCCATGGTCGTGCACGGCAACATCGCCATTATATATAAACTTTTATCAGCCGCCTCCCCAGCTGTAACGCTTCTTCCAATCTCCTCCTCGGCTTAAATACTAACGCCAGATTCAGTACTGACTGGTGTGTGATGTACAGACTCCTGGCGCTCTCCACAAAGATCAGCTTCAGCGGACGGCAGCAAGGTCATATACTCCGCAATAACACCCTCCTCTCCCAATACGTAGTCAACCTCATCATACCAGTCCCTCCTGGGCGAGCATACCTTTAGCGGCTATCAAGACATCACCCGGAGGGCGGCTTCTCGTGCCATCCTGCAGCACGAAACATACGCCAAGCTTCCTTGAACAAGTAATTACTGTAATATCCACCATCAGCATGTTTCTCGTCTCGCTGGCGCTTCGGGAGACTTCGCTGGGGTAGTTCCGGATTACGCTTCACGTCGCGCGCCATTATCCTGGTTTCGCGGAATGGAAAAGAGAGAGGGAATGCAAACGGGTGCGGGGAAGGGGGCCACAAATTCAATATCGAGGAAAGAGGGACACAGCCTTGTTTGTCATATTCATTGACAATAGTTTGTTATATGCAACAGTTGAGGTAATCAAGTTTTACAATTTAGCAATTTGTTTAATAAAAACAAGACATTTACCCGTACTGTAATTCTGTAAATATGGGTAAATATCTCGAAGTTTCTTTGAAGTATACTAAGCTAGTAGCACTCAAGGGATCCACACGTAAACTTGCTGTTTGAGTTCTTTACCTGGTCGTTTCGCGGACGGCGCAATACTTGGCCGTGTGGTGGACAGCTGCCCTGGAAAGGTGGTCCACATAAAGAGGTGTTTATTTACACGCACACAGAAGAGCACTTCCACGGAATTAGCCATTATAATAGCAACCATGAATTGAAGCTTTGGGACCAGTCTTTGTTCAAATTTTGAATTTCAGCCAATCGATCTACTACGTAGATCGGGGTATTGTTTTGAAAACAATTTTGTTTGTTTGTGACTCTGTCGACTTCCGAAAGAGAGCACCGTGGTTTTTAGAATCGGGCCTTCTGCTCCCTTCTGCACACAAACAACTTCATGTGTATGCAATACAAAACTCAACTGGTTTGCGAACGAGTTATTGTGCTTTCTACTCAAAACTTGACTGCCTGATTTATTAATCACCCGCGCTGAATGGCCTATGAATCGTTCATCCTACCATACATCATACGGAAACATTACATGCGACAGGTTTCCACACACTGCATGGTCAGAGCAGAGCGCATCGGCAACGTTTCCCGTGTCAGCAAACGGTAATGGATCTCCGATCTAACGTCTCGCCTGGTAGCGCAAGAGGACCCCCACCAGCGGGTGCTGCATCAGCTGATGGTGCACGCTGTGGTGGTCGAACACGTATATCGCCACATTCGGCCCGTGTATCTCCATATCCTGAGCGTATTCGGACGCCAACGGAGACTACACCGCCCCACCCAGGTCCAATACGACGGCGTACACCTCCAGACCGAGAAGCACTGCCAGCGACCACGACTAGAGCATACTCAACCCCGGGTCCAGTGTCATCTGCAGCCCAACGAGCATCACTTCTTGGAGCAGCAAGATCACCTGGTGAATCAGCTCAAGCTCGACCTTCTCCAGCCCCTGGTACAGCTAGACAGCCGCGGACTCCACGTTTCACACGACGTCGAGCATCACCCCGAGCTGCATCTCCTGTTGGTTAACCTGAGCAGCAGATACCAGCATCCCCAGCGGACGCTACTTCGCATCAATATCAGGTTGTGGTTCAACCTAAGTTGCAGCTGGTGAGGTTTGACCAATCCTATCTAAGTGTTGATTTTTCAGACTATCCGTCAATCACCCTCGGTATCCAATTTTCACTGGAATTGACAATAATGGGTCGCGATAACGCCTAGCCATAGATCTTAGCAGGCGCTAGAGGTTACAGACCACGTATCGCTGTTCGCAAAGATGAACCATTGGCAAGCTACGTGGTACGCGTCGTCATGTAGCTACAGGAAGTATGGTTTCCTCGTACACGAGCTTACGAGTTTCGTTTAATAACGTGTTTTAGATTGCAGTCATACGAGCTCGACTGCCCATATCGAAATAATGTACTCGAATCTTCGCTGCATAGGGTAAATCAGCAGCTGATGACCAGCTTCGCTAACGAGCTGCAAACTGCGCTAGGGTTTCTTCACACGAGCTCACACTTTAGACATGGCGGCCTCCAAATTCGATGCTAACTCCTGCGTACGAGGATTTTTGCGCGCCGTATCGAGCAGTTTCTTTAGCGCCTCGTCAGTGTAGAATGTTTGCAGAATCTTGAGCATAGACGCTTGGTTGTCGGGGTACATGGTGTTGAAATCATCGAAATACTGCTTCCAAAACGTGAAATCTGCACTGGAAAGGAGGTCGTCTGATACATTGTCGATTCGCTCCAGGTGCATGGTGTCGTCAGGATGTTTGACAAACCGAATAGCATTACTCTTTCCAGGCCTTTTTAAAACTGACACATAGAAAGCGCTTTGAGGAGTCTTCTTGCCGATCAACCAAAGATTCAAAGTCGTTCTGCCTGCAACTCCTTCGCAAGCGTTTCTGTTCTCGGGTTCTTCATCGCTTCGTCAACTATCTTCGCCACACCATTATCTTGATCATAATATCTATGAATTGAAGTCAGCATACTCTCTTTTTTCCGGGGGTTTTGGTCGTTGAATGACTTCATGTAGTTGAGCCAAGTCTTAAACAACGGGCTGTCTAGAACTGTGTCTCCTGTCTTGTCAAGATTGAACGCTTTGAAGACATACGTGGGAGATTCATTGCTGCTCAGCAGCTTTTTTATCTGCTCCACCTGCAGCTTTGACGCTAGTTCTTTAGTCGATTGAACTTTCTTCGCAGCTTCCAGTACTCCAAACAAAGCATCGTCGCCGTAATGAGCTGCAATCGGAAATACCATCGAAGTTTCCTTTCCCGGATGCTTGACATTAAAGTGATTTATGTACTTGGTCCAAGCGACAAACTGCGGATTCGTCAGTAGATCATCCACTTTCTCGTCGAGCATAAACAATTTGAAAACAGTCTCTGGGGTTTTGTCGTCTTTCAGCCACCACTGAATGTGTTCCTTCCTTAGTTTAGTGGCGAGAGCCTTAGTGGTCGAGACTTTTTTCGCCAGCGCAAGGGCTTCTGACAGGCCTGCGTCGCTGTAAACAGTCAATAAAGACGGGTTCATCGATTCTTGCTTCGTAGGGTTCTTTGCGTTGAAATCGTCCACGTACTGCACCCAAGTGTGAAAGCTTGGTTGATCGAACAGCGTGCCTTCAACTTTTAGGAAGATTAAGAGCTTAACTTTGTTCAATTCAAGCAGCTTAAACACTTTTCCTGTTGATTTCCCTTTGTTGAGCCACCTTCGGATATCGGGAGTTTGATGCTTGGTATTCTTTAGTGGGCTGCACATGTGATAGCGTTTCGTCGGGAATATTATCCTGGGTCGGCTTTGGGTTCTCGGTTATTTTCCTCACGAGAGAATTAATCCATTCCTGTGTTTTCTTGAGGCCGAGAGAGCTGAAATATCCTCTTTCGTCGTCACTCACAACCCTCAGGTAGCGGTTGATCTGATTTTTCGACACTGCGCGATTCAAGCTTCGGACCTTCGATGCAGCATCAACATTTAAGAAGAAGGAAGCTGCAAACAGCGGCATAGCCTGGTGTAGCAAATGCATGATGAAGACACTGTCGAGGCTTGCTGGCAAATTAAAAAGTGACAAGCCCCACTTCAAGTGACAGACCAATGGTCAACACTGTTCGTCCAACAGTGAAGTACCCAAGATTAGTCACGTGGAGCTTCAAGTGCGCGATCTTATCTTGTGACAAATCAATTGCCGTGTCCAGTTAATAAAAGTAGGCACTGGATCAGAACCGAAAATATATTAACTTACTCATTTTATTATCCTAACTCTGCACCGGATATCTTGTCCACGATGTGATCATGTTAAATATGTAGCTAAAGCTGGTAGTGTATGTCCAATGATTTGACAAAATCACTCCGTGAATGAAAAGATATCCATTTTAATATACCATGGTTTTCGATTATTATCCAGATGTACGATCTCAGCCCTAGGCGACTTCGGTTACGGTCCGTAAGTGAAAAATTAACGGGGCTCTATCACCCAGTTTAAAGAAGGGTAAAGCCCAAACCAGCTCTTTTCCTGGGCTTTAACCTCACAAGTTCGAGTGCGCCTTTGCTGTGCTTATTCCAGTGAAGTCTTCGTCCTCTGCACACAGCCCGGTATATGATTCGGACGAAAATCAAAAATCACCATAAAAAGGACGTACCTCGGACGAAGTTCCAGTGTCAATAATCTCACTCGTCTATTTTAAGGAAACTGACTCCATTATTAAAAGCTCGCCTAAAAGAAAACTTTTAAGGCATTATTCTATTTTTTAGCACTGACTGACGGACTTACTGTCCCCATTTTCGCGGATGCATTGGAAGTGCACTGTTTTGTGCTACAGAATTGAAGTGGGCTGATAAGTGCCCATCATCTAGTTTAGTAAAAACGGACATGAAACTGTTCTAAAATGCACTAACTGCTATAATAAATAACATAGTTTTCTATCCTGTTAGCCCCTTTCTCTTATGTTGTAGGGTACAGCATAAGCGAAATATACCCTAGTTGACTTCGTGTCGTATCATATATACGTCCAAAACATTAACCGAATCCGTGCATGAACAGTATTTTAATACACTTGCTATTTATATTAAAATACTGTTCATGCACGGATTTAGTAAATTAAGATATGTTGTAAGGTATAAAACGTCCAAATGCAGGTTTATCTCGAGGGGGTTCGGTTAAACTAGATATAAAAAGATTACCAAATGAGTGGCCGGTAGCCACCAAAGTGTTCATTCTTCAAAACGACGGCTACACCAAAGATGGCTGCTCCGGCTGGAGAATCCCCCCCCGGCATAAGCTCACAAAAGAAGAGCGGCGACGATGCCTCGAGAGGCACATGCGACAAATTCGGCGGGCAGATGGAATTACAATTGCGAAGGATGAGGGTCCTCAGAAGAAGGCTCCCAGAAAGAAGACAACAAAGCGCACAGCATCTGCCATGGGGTAGCCTAGAACAAAGGATCTTTACCGGACCGTGGTCCATCTGGTGGGGAGCTGGAGTGTGTGGGGGATGCCGAAGAGAGGGCAAGAGCTTCTGGAGAAGCTCCTGACGCCATGGAGACAGCACCAGCAGCGCAGATAGCGTCCCATTTGTCAGACGATCGTGTTGACTACGCCGTGGTTGCTGCCGTATTTGATGACATCGTCGACTATGTTGAAACTACGGAGGCTGCGACACTAGTGAGGCCAATGGCAAGTGCTGAGGATGCTTCTCGTCCAGGCAGGACCAGGTCGCCACCTGAACCTGCGTCAAGAAAGTGGTGCCGTGCTATACTGTAGGAAGACAGCGACGGTGACGGCGACATCGACAGCGAGGTGAGTTATGTTGGCATCGACAGTATAAGGATGCACATGAAGAGTAATATCCAACATATCACTAGCCCAAGAACGGCTGCATGCACAAATTGTGTGTAGGTTCTTGCCATTGAAGAAAACGCGACAGACGGAGGCGCTGCCTACGCGATTCGAGGCCGATCCAAATTTGATGGAAGGTGGAGCAGATAGGTGTACTGGTCTCAATTTAGACGAGGACGCTGAATTACAGGAAGAACCGGTATGCACAGGACGAGTCCTTGAACGGAGACTGGGATCTCAGCGATCTCAGTGACGGAGAGGGCGAGATGGTGCACGAAGAACTCCCCGACTCAAGTTGGGCGTCAGTTGCGAGGACAATGATCTCATGAAGGAAATGCGGCACATTGGCCCTGTTCAGCAAATCCTGGAACCTGAAACATGGAGAAAAGGTTCCAAGGGTCGGCCAAGGGTCCAGTTTAGCTCCGTGTTCAGTATATTTCTCGTTGGAATCTGCAGCTTTCGAGACGGCCAGTTCGCGATAAGATCTTGCAGTAGCGACCCTTCGCCAGTCCTCGTTTGGCCTCGTGCTTGTGAGGCCAACTCCGAGGTAAGTGCACTGAGACCAAGCTGCTGCTGCCAAAGAATGACGCTATTGTGCTTTATGTTTCTTCCTTGTGTGTAGCCACCATGGATACAGATATAATAGTAATGCTCTTCGTGTTGGTCAACACGATGACCAAGACGACGGCTCCGTTTGACTTTCCAAAGTGGAGAGCAGCTGCTGTTCAGCACGACATGGAGACGGAGAATCTAGTGTTGATGGAGCTTCTCACTCGTGCGTATCGTGACTGTGTTGCTAAGCCGCGTAGTCGTCACTGGGCTACGATGCTATTTTCGTCACGGCTGTACTTTGACACTAGCGTGAAAGGTCTTTTTCGGATGGATAGCAGCAGTTTCGCGGCTTTGCATCAAGCGATCTGCCCGCACTTAGTTGTTCACAGAGATGCTTCTGACGTCGTTGATCCGCCCATGCGTCTGTCGGTTTTCCTGTACTTAAGTGCGCAAGCCGCATCCGTGCGTGCAACAGCGGACAAATTTGCTATCGGTCCCTCGACTGTATCAGGAATCGTGAAGGAGGTGGCTGGAGTCATATGCCGCGTGTTAGGTGGCCTGATCGCATTCCCAGCACTACGTTTGTGTGCTTCACATTTTGCACAGTCTTGTGGGGTTCCGCAGAGCGCCGGGTGTATTGAAGGATCACACATACCGGTTAGTAAGCCAGCTGAACATGGAGAGATGTATTTCAATAGGAAATGCTGGTACAGTATTGTGCTACAAGCAGTAGTCGACTGGCGTGGTCGATTCTGTGACCTCGATTGCAAGTGGCCCGGTCGAGATGGGAATAGCCGTGTATTCAGGCGCAGTTATTTGGCTGGAGCATTCCCAATAGTTTCGGCAGCTTCCGAGACTGTTTCAATACCTACTGGCGTTGAAGCTCTTGCACAAGTGCCGTATTTTTTACTTGGTGATTCTGGATACCAAAACACGCAGTACATGGTGACTACATTTGAAATTGCTGAAACCGAGAGCAGTGACGTATGCAAGTCGCTCAACAAAAAGCTAGCCCATGCGCGATATCGAGTAGAGTGCGCTTTCGGGCGGCTTAAATGCCGCTGGCGTATTTTGCTGAAAGGCATTGGACAAGACATTGAAGGCGCCCCTGATATTGTCGATGCACTTTGTATCGTACAGAACGTTTTAATGGAACATTTACCTTTACGGATGAAGAGGAGAAAAAAATACTAGCGAAATATGAGAGCCGCTTCCCCCAGCCGCGGGTCGTAGTTGAAAGCGAAGTCAGTGGAAATTTGCGAGATGAATTAAAAAAGTGGCACGCATTTGAAAAACAGAGATAGCAGTATCCCCGAACTCAATTAAGACAGCTTCATCACACTAGTTGTTAGTCTTGGCAAGTGTTAAAATAAGAGCCTTCATTAGTTGCATGGTCTCGTTGTGTTGCTCACGACGCTCGCGCATTTCTTCACGCTGCAGCTTCTCTGTTTGGACCAGGAACGCCTTGGATCTCTCCTCCAGCATGCTGCGTACTTCATCCAGCTTCGTATCTCGCTTCCGTTTGTTTGTTGATTTGCCAGTGTTGTGCGGGTCGTTATTATCGCTAGCACATTTCTCAAACAAATCACCTGCCTCGCCGCTCGCTGTCGCAGGTAAGGCATCGGCCTCTGCGAATCGAGGGCGGGCAATAAAGGTGGCCGGTAAGGGTACCGTGTCGGGCTTCTCGCTCAAGAACATGTTTAACTTTTCGTAAACCTCTTGGGCTACGTTAGGACTTTTTACACGATGCCGAGTACTAAACATTAGTGCAAACAGCTGCATAGTTAGAAGGTTTATATGTTATGTAGCTAGATCGCACGTACCGTAATTCCCGCTTCTCCTTTTTAGACAGCTCAAACCAGGCTTGCCGGTTCTCCCGACTATGCGGTTTGCGTTGACGTCGCTGATGAAGCGATACATCTCGCGCAACGCCTGAAACTTGTCTTCCACTGCCTTTATAGAGCGCTTTGTACTAGTGCCCCCCCCCCGCCTTGAGCGCTTCATAGATCCGGCTGTTGTACAGCGCCGTCTTCTCGTCCTTACGGCGCCCTTCCTTGCGCACTTCGTGCCAAGCCTGCGCTAGCGCAAGCGTGTCTGCGTCAGTACACTTCCGCTTCGTGAATACTACAGGCTCTACAGGACGCGTCTCGGTCTCTGCTGGTTCAGCGGGATCCGCACTTGGCTGGCGGGTGGCCGATTTCTTCTGCATGCTTAAAGCTAAGAGGGATGCTTGGGGGGCTGGAGAAAATCTGGTTGTGAGGAAGGATCGCGATATTTACTTTTGGAAGTTCCAGATTCCAGTGAGCTCCTTTGGTCCCTGGGAAAATGTCATTCAAGTGAGGAATACTTGGAACTTTTTGTGTTTTTTTCGCTGTTCCAGAGGTTTGCTGAGCACGTTTTGCCTGGAATCTGGAACAATGTCAATATTTTTTTTTCAGATACCAGATTCCAGGCGTTGTGTGAACAGCACCATTGGATGGGAGTATGGTTAGTTTTGCTGTTCATATGCAACATATGAGCGATACATTTTCCATTCGGTCAACATACGAGCTAACATAACTACTGTTTATTGTATTTGTGTGTGTAGATCCGAGTAAATTTGGATCTGACCCGACCTACAACGATCGTTTTGATGGTGA